AGAAATGGTAGGACGCAGGTCGCATTCACGAATTTATCTCCCTCTCTTCTCCCTGTGTTATTCATTTCTTCATTTCCCCTTCTTTAGTAAATAAACTATTAACCTTTTTTGTGTGTGCCTGCAGTTGAGTCTTAATATAAGTGCCTCTAAAGCGCATAGGTGAGGAACTGTAACAGGGTGGTCCCCAGGAAAGGGGGAGTTTCCAGGTTCCCTGCCCCACCCAAATGGAGCTAAGCAGAAAGAGAAGAAGCTGCAGAGGAGACTGAGGAAGGAAGGAAGCAGGATGGAGAGCCAGAAGGAGACCTAGAAGAGGCACATGGGGCCAAGAGACATGTGAAGAAACTGAGCTTGCGTTTTGGTCGTGGACGGGGTGACACAGATGTGGGTGAGACCCGTGGGGAGGTGACAATGGCAGATTTTATCTTGATTTTGATTTTGCTCTTTTCCTTCCGGGCTTGTCTGGTTATTTCTGACCCTTTTCTGTGGGTCTCCACTGGAAGACGCTTTAGATTTGTGGCAGGCTTTGGGGCCTTGCTCTGGGCCAAACCCATTTGGATGGAGTTTTACCCATGAGGAGACAGGTAACTTTGCGTGCTTGATTTAGAAACTATATTCTTTGCCTTTCCTGTATTGTTTCCTAATTGTATTAAAGTTCCTTCCCAATAAAGTCTCATATGTTTTGTGTTGATGCGGCGGATGGCAGAACCCATTTAGAATAGGCAGGTTTGCAGGGTTTGGGCTGCCCCTCTCCCTGCCCTGTAACAAATTCACAGTCAGGCAACCCATTTTATATTGGGTTTCCCTCTAACACCTTCATGGTAAATACCGAGGCAAACAGAGTTAGCCCAAAGCAGGAACGCTGAGGCCCAAAATTTGCCTTAAGTCTAAAGTACCTTCTGATGACCCACTGAAAAGTGTGAGAAACAACCTGATCCGGAAGGAAAAGAGCAAATTCGAAATCAAGATAAATGCTGCCATTATTAACCTCCCTATGGATCTCTCACCCAAGTCCATTTCAAGTATCTCAATCTGTTCCAGGGCAGGGAGAGGGGCAGCCCAGACCCCCAAATCTGCCTGCTCTAAATGGGTTCTGCCATGTGCTGCATCAACACAAAACATATGAGACTTCAATGAAAAGGAACTTTAATACAATTAGCAAACAATACAGGAAAGGCAAAGAATCTAGTTTCTAAATCAAGCACCCAAAGTTACCTGTCCCCTCAGGGGTAAAAGTCCACCTAAACAGGATTGGCCCAGAGCAAAGCCCAAAAGCCTGCCACAAGTCTAAAGCACCTTCCAGTGGGGACCCACAGAAAAGGATCAGAAACAACCAGACAAGTCTGGGAGAAAAAGAGCAAAATCAAAATCAAGACAAAAACCGCCACTGTCCCCTCCCCATGAGTCTCACCCACATCTGTGTCACCCAGTCCACGACCATAAGCAAGCGCAGTTTCTTCATGTGTCTCTCGGCTCCATGCACCTCTTCCAGGTCTCCTTCTAGCTCCATTCTGCTTCCTTCTTTCCTCAGTCTCCTCTCCTGCTTCCCCTCCTCCCTGCTCAGCTCCACCTTCCCTTGGGTGGGGCAGGGAACCTGGGACCTCCCCTTCCCTTGGGGACCACCCTGTTACAATAGAAGGGTGAATTCTTTAGGTCTTGGAGAACCAGAATCTTTCCTTCCTTGACCTTTGCTGGCCAGATGGGTGTGCACAGAGCAACTGAAACTCAGTTCACTTTCTTAGAGGTTCCTGCACTCTGCTACCAAGATATCCATGAGTGACTTGCCCTTGTAGCACCTTCATTCCATTTTCCAGAGCTGAAAATCCTGTTTTAGTCAATATTACTTTTCCTTTCAATTTTATTTTACTCTGAAATTTTAATTTATTTGGATCAGTATGTGTGTAGTCATAAATGTCTAAATTCTGCCTTTGTTTCACCTTTCTCTCTGTCTAGATCCATAACCCTCAGATCAGCCCAGGATCACCTTTCCTCAGACATTCCATTAACTGACTCAATAAGTCATCCTGCATCTATGGGTTCAAGTCCCTGTTCCAAATCAGGCTGGGTATCCTTAAGTTTACTTCAACTTTTAAGGAATGGGTGCTTGTGTGGTCAGAAAAGAAAATTTAGGAGTCCTTGCAGACCTGTTTTTCATTTCCCATTCTCCACTGGCTCACTGCCTTCAAGAAGCCCTCTGAGTTATCTAGTTCCCTGGGATTAGACTATCCTCTAAGGAAGCCTCAACTCAAGACATGTTGACAGGAATATTCTGAAGCTTCTACCCTTCCCCCCTCCCCAGCTTTGATTAACCCTGAAAAGGAGGTGCAGAAAGCCAAGGGCCTGAGGCAAGAAATATACTGAAGGAGAAAAAAACTTTTGGTGGTATAGCGCAAAATTGAAAACATTCACTTTGGAGTCAGATGGCCTTGGAGTTGAGTTCTAGTCTAGTTTCTTGCTAATTATGTTATCTGGGGCAAATGAATGTCTATTTGCCTCAGTTTTTGCATCTGTAAAATGGAATTGATATCTACCCCGTAGAGAGTCAACATAGTAGTGGTTGGAAGCAGAGTGTAAGGGCAGGAATGGCACAGTGCAGGTTTTCTGATCCAGCAGACTGGGTAAAGGAGGAGTCCTGGAGCCCTTGGTGGGTTTTGCAGGCTTTTATTGGGATTTACCAGGTACACAGCAGGCAGGGGTCCTGGGGTGGCCGGGAGGCTGGCAGGCCTCCCAGCCCCCAGCAAGTCTTCACTTTCTGGGCTCTCTAGCGTTCTCTCTCCTTCTCTGCTCTCCTGGTTCTGCTGTTTGCTCTGCTCTTCTCTGCTTCTGCTGGCGTCCCCGTGACGCCGCCCCTAAAAGCCCAGTCTTAGCCCAGGTGAATCCCATCTACCTATGCCCACACCCTATTCCAGGTGCCCGCCATCAGGCATGCATTCAGGACCACAGGGTTCTGTCATCTATCCTAATGGTGGGAGGGCAGAAAAGCCTGATACTTTCACCTTACCCTACACAGGGGTTCTAGTGCCAGATTGCCTGAGGCAAACTTTGGCTTCTGCTGAGTGGTTGTAAGGTCTTAAGCAAAGACTTGACCTTTTTATGAGTCAGTTTCTTTATCTGTAAAATGGGTGATAATGTTACAGCCTGCTAGAGAAAGAATTCACCAGAGAGTGCTAGGTATAGTTGAACTAAGCAAGGCTTTATTAGAGACTTGTAAAGGAACCAGTGCCTGACTCCTCAAAGGGAGTTAGGAGGAGGTGCTTAAACATCTTGAGGCCCTTGAGATGGGGAGGAAGAGGGCAGCCTCACAGCTTGTTCTGGGTTGGGCTATCCCCGGGGAATGTGTAGACCAGCTACATCCAACTGCTCACGTGGACTCATGGCCTTCTCTCTCCAGGAAATTGTGAGTTAATCTTTAGTCAGGATCTAAAGCTTTTTGTCTGTATTGGTACTTCATGGTCAGTGTGGGGCCAAGTTGTTTGGACAGGGTTTGCGAATCCATGATTTCGTCCACCTGCTCAAAAAGGATTTGGGGCAATTCACCCTACCAGCTCACAATTTCTTTTACCTAGGCTGTCTCAAAATAGTACCTGCTTCGGGTGAAATAATATCTTATTTGAAGCTCCTGAGTATTCAGCTGCATTCTCAAAAAAGACCAAAATGAAACTAAAGAGTGAAGTGATCCCCTCATCACTAAAAATTACTCTGAAAAACTCTAGAATACAGGATTTTGATATTTTATAATGTGTGTTTTTAATAAAGAAATACTTACAGATGATTATAGACAACAGAAAATGTATTCATAGATACTTTAACCTCCCCCATTCACTTGATAAGAACAATTCAAAAAGAAAAAGAAAAATTAAAGAAGGAACGAGATATAGCTGAGAACCTGGGTGTGTGGAGACCAGCTCCCTCACAGCAGCTGATAGAGAGAGCAGTGCAATGGGTCTCTTCACAGCAGGCGGAGGTGGTGTTGGAGTGAGACTGTGGGGGAGGGATCTAGGCTACAACCAGGGCTGGAAGTGGATAGGAGTTTTTAAATATTTGCTCCTTTAGTTTGTCAACCACAATGTAAAACTTTATTGAAACAACAGAGACTTTAAGAGTCAATATAATGAGACAGTGAAAATGAGTTTTACTAAGAGTTTGGAAGTTTCTCAAGAAATCATTATAAATGTAGCCAGAGAAAGAAGCTGTCATAGGCAAATATTTCTCCACTGTGTTAATATCAGGAATAACTTTACTGATCCTTTGCTATATAATTTAGATAATTTGTAAGAGGCAAACAGCATGCAAAGAAAAAAATAATATGATGAAATTCTACTTTTCATTATAATTCAGAAAATGTCTAAATTTCAGAGAATTCTCCATTAAGAATGAATAGCTCATAATTAAAATGTTTAATAATGTTTATTGAATAGCATTAGATTAATAGGAAGCATTAAAGAGCTGGATACTGAAACCAGAAGAAAAAAATAATCTGTGCAAAAGATATATATAAAAAAAAGTTTGTCAAGGCAAATGTATAAAAGAATATATCTAAATATCACTTTTGGAATGCTTTTCCTGAATAGTCTATAAACTTAAACCTGGGGATCTTTGAATGTTATTAGTTTTTATCAGGAAAAAAAGAAATCTTGTAAGGAATGCTTTAAAAGTAGAAGGGCCTTATTCCTCTCAATAGTGAGCTTCTAAACAGAGGATATCTCCAAATGCAGTTTGGAGAAGTTCATGGGTTTCCAGACAACATTTCAGGTGTCTTAAGAGAAGCCTTGCTTTCTTTTGAAAATCTGACTTTCACAATGATTAAAAAGCATTTTTTCATTTACTCTTAATTCAAACCTTGTGTTCATATTTGAGGTTTGAATTCTCATTCTTTTATTTTCTAGGAGAATTTAGCTTTAAACAATAGGTAGATTATCAAAAGAAACCTGTATATCTAAGTAATTATCCTCAAAGAAACTTTCCTCTCTGATGAATGAGAGGCACCATATTTGGGAGGGGAAAAAGGCTCTTTGCACCATTAGCTTTTGCAGGGTCACTTTTATATTTATTCTCATCCTCACTTATACAGGGGAAGTTCCTTTTCTTGGAAAAGATTCAGCCAAACACAAAACTCAACTCCTGAGCAGGAATGAGTGGGGAATGCAGATGCCATTAGCAGTGATGTTGGTGTCAGGCAATCTTTTTCTTAAACACTGAGATTTGTGGAGTTGGAGAAGCACCTCTTCTGTGAAATAAAAACAAAAGCAAGATAGTAATGTTTAGAGAAAGATTTACCAGAAACAGAGACTTTCTCCCAGAGATATCGAGGAATATTATACATATTGGCTCCTAGTTTCGTTTTCTGAGCTGCTGGAATGAGTCAGACTTACTCTATCTAATAAGTAATAAAAATAAAGACTAGGCATTTGTCTTAGGAACTTCACATAAATTCAACTTGTACATTGAAAATATTTTGTATAAGTGAGCTCTAGTTACCCTCTGAAATATTTAAAATTAAAAAAAAATAATGAAATAAAATGGCCCCATTTTGACCATCCAGGGAAAAGAAACTCTAGGGTGCAAATTGGAATCTGAAAACCCTTGGTATGCCTGACTTACTTCTGCATTATAGTTATCAGTCTATTAATCCATTTGACTTGAGTGTTCAGGCATACACCTTTCTTATTCTTTGTCCAGACTCTAGAAGAAAATAAAAACAAAAATAAAGCAGAATTACATTTTTGTCAATCCTGCACTTAATGAAAGAGTTGAGCTTGCAAACAAATATTCCTAGATGACTTCAAATCAGAGGTAGGCCGTTTTGACTCTGGAATAGGTGACTGTAGCAAGAGGTCTGAGGAATAATAAAAATACTATTTTCAGATGGTATGTATGAGCCAGTGGAACTGATTATGAAACCAACAGAATCTCACATGTCAGAGGTTAGTGTTTTGTTGACAACCTTTACATGAGTTGGAGCCAGGCCAAATAGCTGATTCCACAGTTGGCTTACTTCTAAAGTTATATCATAATATCTTTAAAATATGTTTGTCCATTGAGCTTGGGAAAACAATACAGATTATAGAACACACTTTTTTTAGGATGTTTTATTGAAACACTTTCAATGAAATTTTATGTGGAGTGGCTACAGAGCTGATTGCTCTCTGTGACAGCTGCAAATGGTTGAACCACTGGTTAGTGAGGTTTTCGCTGCTTTAAGAAATTAAACAAAAAGAGCAGCAACAATACTTAATACCTGACATTGTTCAAGAATTTACAGTGTGCCAGGCATTATGCTCAGCAGACAAAATGAATTATTTCAATTAATACCACAAAAACTCCTGTGCTAGAGGAACTATGATTTCTTTACCTTCAGATGAGGAACTTGAGGCTTAGCCAGTTTTAATAACTTATCCGATATTGCATAAGAAATGCATGATAGAGCAGGATTCAAATGAAAGTTATTTGATTCCAGAACTCCCACTTATAGCCACCACTCTACATGGGCATTATCTGGATGATTATCAAGTTCCAGACACATGCTGAGTGTTTTATCTGCAGAGGAGTGTGAGGTCTCCCAGGCAATAACAAACTCGAAGTCTCTGCTCTCTTGGAAAACACGATTTTTTTGAAGTGCCATTTATCTTAGGTAAAAAATAATCATCAATGAGGACCATCCATCTAGTTTTGCAACTCCACCCTTGTAAGTGAATGAATCTTAGAGAGGTCAGAGGTCATATGACAGTCTTGGGCAGAGACTTCCAATTTGATTATCGAGTTCATGATGGAAAATCAGTTTCCTGCCCACAAATACAGGATTTACAGTATTTTCACTCCTGACTAGTGTGAGTTTTTCATAATGATTTACAGCTTTTGTTTCTGTATTTGTTTGAAACTCAAGAAAGCAGAACTTGCTGAAAGGACACGAAATCAAACTTTTGTCACTTTAAAAAGATTTAAGGTAAAACAGAGGAAAATTAGGGTACACTGCGTCCTGGTTGAGAGATTAGAGACTTGATTCATGACAGAGGAAATGCAGTGAAAAAAAGGGTCTCCATTTTCTAGACAGCCAGGGGAAGTGATCCCAAGTCCGCCGAGGCTAGAAGTTACATCTCTGAGTTTGAGGATAAAAATTGTTTTGTTAAAATGTTCATTGACATTTTAACAAAGACATTGATGAAAGAATAATGCCTTTATAATGAAAAATACCCCTGTGTATTTTTGATGTCCCATTTTTCCTTTTTACAAGTTGATTAGAACTATAGGAAGACCCAAAGCACTGACACGAAAATGGAATGAACAAAAACAACTGCTTACAAATATTCCAAAAAACTAAAGAAGTATAAGAGAGAAGCTGTTAATGAAAGCCAAATCAGAGATACCTTGAGAAAGATATTATGCCTAATGCTTCAAGGTATTGTGATCTTGGTTCATTAAAGACAGCCTCTTGGAAGGCAAAATCAAAGTTCTAAGAAGTTCTAAGTAGTGATACACAAAAATCTATAGGCTGCATTTAAAATATTCAGTGCAACAATTCAATATTTGTTGAACCACTACTGTATGGGATTTTAAAATTATTCTGTATAACCCCTATATAAATATCTCAGATGTTACTTACTTCTATTCCCAATGCTCTCTAATATTTATCTAGCCTCCTCCCCCCATCTATAAAGAACTTATTTTCTGGTGAGAATGAAAAAGAAAATAGAATACCTGATTGTTTTAAAACAATGATGCTATAATAATTGCAACTGTCATTTGTTGAATATTTACTAATGTGCCAGGCACTGGACAGGGGTTTTGCGTGCAATATGTAAAGTCTCATTTGATATGCCATGGGAAATGCTTTGATAGGGGTATCCATAGATTTCTCCAAGAGTATAGAAAAGGGAGGGTCACAGAAGCAAGGGATCATATCATTTCAACGAAAGAAATTATCTATTAAATTCTTGCAGCCACTGCTGTCCCCTCATTTTCTTGCTCTTGAATTTCCTGGGAAACAGTGTCTGCTTCTGGTGCTAATTCCAATTTGGTGGATGGATAAGAGAAGAAAGAGGTTTTTCTTCCTTCCTTCTCCCCTCCCTGCAACCCCTCCTTCTTCCCTTCCTCCTTCTTAACTTCCTTCCCCTTTCTTTTATTGAATATGTTTGACATGCTACAATCTGTAAATTTAATATGCAAAACCTGTTAATTTGATGCATTTATATATTTAATATAATTGCCATTGTAGCAATATTTAGCACCTCTAGCACATCATATGATTGTCCTTTCTTTTTAGTGGTTGTTTGGGGATAATTAAGTTTTAGCCTCTTAGTAAGTTTAATGACTGTAGTATACTACTGTCTATATTCATTATTTTGTGCTTTAGATCATCTCTATAATTTATTTACTATTGCCCTTTTCTAGTGGTGTGTTTTGGGCAGTTAGTGAACTTCTCTAAGCCACAGTTTCTGAAAATGTGAAGGATAATAAATATAGACATACTTTAATAGGGCCATTGAAGGACTAAAATGCCTAAATGCATATAAAGTACTAAGTTCAGGGCTGCTGCAAAGTAAATACAAACATTACTGATTCTCATTATTATCTTGACTTTTTAAACAACTCTCAAAGTAAAGCACTGTGAAATTCTTGAAACTAGACTTTGGGTGTTGATCATAGTATATTAGATGTCAAAATATAATAACGTACACATGATACTTATATAACACTATAAACCAATGGTACTTCAATAAAAATTTTAAAAAATACTTTGTGACATTTGATTCTGATTTTCATTGGCAGAAAGGACTCATACATATTAATTTTATTGTAACTTACATGATTTCTTTTCTGGGGCATCCGTTCCCAGGGAACAAGGTTTGAATTCGTTCAATGTTGTTGATGGGGATCATGCCTGACGTCGTTCGGCGACATCGACACTTTAAGTTCGTGTTAAAGGTCTCCAGAACACCTGCAAACACAGGATCAGTTATTTCAATCCCTTTGACATATAATTTATAACTACAACTTTATTAAATTCTTTTATACTATGAATTTTAAGGTTTACAAATTCCAAATTCATGCTTCCAACCATAAACATTTACAGTTTGTATGTTTATGTTTATTTGCCTTGATTATTTTCAAACATTTTCTAATAAAACCATAAAAATAAAATTAACGGGCCTCCCCGGTGGTGCAGCGGTTGAGCGCTGGGTTGCAAAGCTGCCTGCAGCCTCTGCAGCGCCGGTTCGACCCCCCGCTGCTCCCCTGCCATGGGAGGAGGGTCCCACATGGCGCGCAGAACTGTCCTGCCACCTGCTGCTCCCCTCAGCAGTGTACGTCGGTCCTTCTGCCTGTTCTGCTCCCTGCTCTGGCTCTGGTGAATTCTTTCACCCTCCTACACTTCTGACTGTACCCAGTGCTTGTATAAATAAATAAATAAATCTTAAAAATAAATAGATAAATAAATAAATAAATAAATAAATAAATAAATAAATAAATAAAATTAACTTTTGGACCTCCCTGGTGGCACAAGGGGTTAAGCGTCCCACTATGAGGCAGTCAGCTGCCTCTGCAGCCCCAGTTCGATCCCCTGCTGGCCAGGGAGCAACCCACATGGCACAGCACACCTCTCCTGACTCACCTGCTGCTCTCCTCAGCAGTGTATTTCAGTTAGTCTGCCTGTTCTGTTCCCCGCTCTGGATCTGATGAATCCTCTCACTCTCCTGCACATCTGGCCTGTACCCCAGCTCTTGCATGCATAAATAAATAAATCTTTAAAAAAATTAACTTTTTAAAAATCACATGACCTATTGAACTTTGTGATAACATTATATTGGTACTCAGGTTATTGTCCATGCAGTAAAACTTGAGAGCCCCCCCCTTCCATGGGTACTTACAATTCAGTTATAATTAATGCAATATAAAATCAATTGGTCTTCACCCCTAGCACATAACAATTGAGGACATGAATTCCTTACAGAGCTCCTGGAGCAATAACAAGCTGTAACAGATTTCTCTCATCATACTCCATGCCCCCTTCCCCACCACATTTCCCTCTTGGAGGAGACATCACAGAAGATATTTCTTGTTTCTTTTTTAATATCATGGTTCTCCATCTCCATTGCCATCATTACTATCTGAAGCCAATAAATATCCAAGACTATTTTTATTCAGCAAAAATTATTAGTATTAATTCTTTTATAAGTAACCTATCTCATGCATTTAATGAATGCTCCCCTTTTTTTAACCACAGTGTCTACCACATTGCTTGACATGTATTTGCAAGTAAAAGTGACCTAGTTCCCAAGGTACCTACAACTCACTAGGGAAAACAAATGAATAAAAGCTAAAATATCACAGAATGCTATATTTCACCCAAGATCCCAATGGCATGATGGGGACAGAAGACTTTGCCAGGAGCATTGGAAAAGCTTCATGGAAGAGGAGAGAGATGAAGTTCTTAAAGAATAAAAATAACATATGAAGCAAAATAAAAACTGAAAAGTTTATCCAAAATTTGTACGCTACACCTGAGTAGTATATAGCAGTTTGCATATGCATCCAATTCCTTCAGCTGTATGAAAACTTACCACTTCAACTAAATAGGTATCAATTTAAGCAAACATAGCCTGACCATTTAGACTTTGCAGAATGCATATTCTTAGGTACTCATTATACTTACAAAGTTCATGTCAGAGCTAACCATCTAAAATTGCACCAGATATTCTTTGCTGGAAACCAAGCTAGTTGAGGTCAATAATCTTTAAGCTCTAGAAAGGGTTTGATCAGGTGGGGTAGCAGTGAGAGGCAGAACAAAGAAGAGATACATGGAAAGAATTAGCTATAGCAGAGTTGAATCTGAAAAAAGCAGGAATAGACAAACTAAGTATAACTCACATGGACATTGGAGTCCAGTATCTCCTGTGGATAACAAGCTTAGCAATATACATGCTTCTAGCCACTAAGAGTTAAATCATTTAGTACTTTACTTTTAGAAATCAAGTGAAGTTGAGTAGTTTTTTTTTCCTTTTAGTCATATTTCCTCCCATTTTATGATTTAAAAAATTGCAATGACTGAAGGCCACTTCTGTTCAAAGGACAATGACAACATAAATGAAAGTTCTCACCCTGGACTGGAGAGAGGCTGCTGACCAGCAAAACGAGAAGCAGGAATCCTGGGGTGAACCTCATTCTGCCTGAAGGTGGAGTTCAGACTTCAGCTCTGAAACTAAACTGTGGGTCCCCAGCACAGATATTCCTATTTATTTACACCAGTCAGGGCCCTCCCACTGCCTTTGTCTCCAGTAGGTCAGCTGCATCATCAGTTAAAAAAAAAAACCCAATATTGCTGAGCTTGCTTTTCTTTTGAACTCCTCCTGCAAATTTTATGAATTTGCTTCAAGTCACTATTAGTTATAATAAAATATTTCTTGAAAGTATGGACTATAAATGACAGGGATGCTGTAGGAATGGGTGGGGGGAGGAGGGAAAAGATAGCAGTTTGGAGTCTCTGTAATACACTCTCAGATCACAATCAGTGATTGTAGCTTTGACTGCTTATCTCAGTGCAGGGTCAGCAGCCTTCACAGTGGCATTTGAATATATGCCTCAAGAAATCAGGTACTCTGTCACACATGTGTTTGTGTCCCCAGCACCTGCAGGAGTGTCTAGCCCTTGGTGGGTGTTCAATAAATATTTGCAGAACTAATGAATGTCTCATTGTATACAGATTGCTGTGCTGACGAGATTTCTGTTTTCCTACCACATTTCCCCACCTGTTACTTTACTGTCTGAAATATATGATTATTTATAAAATCTGACCATCATGGAAATTCTGGAAGTGAACTAGGGTTTTTCCCCTCACTGGAGTGCTTGTTTCTTAAGGACAGGGAGGAAGGCAACAGCTTTGAGGAAGAGGAAATTTCTGACTTTGGCGTGCAAGACATTGAGCTCAAAAACCAAGTGTCCTTGGGGGTATTTTTAGGATTTCATCAGATGCTAAAGCCCATGTTACAGCTGGTTTAACAAAGCATTTGTGCTGTTTGGTTTCTTTTTTTTTTTTTAATAGAGGCATGTTTTATTTATTTATTTATTTGTTTGTTCGTACATGCACTGGGTACAGTCAGAAGCGCGGGAGGGTGAGAGAATTCACCAGAGCCAGAGCGGGGAGCAGAGCAGGCAGAAGGACAGAAGTACACTGCTGAGGGGAGCAGCGGGCGGCAGGAGAGGTCTGCGCGCCATGTGGGACCCTCCTCCGGTGGCCAGGAACAGCCGGGAATCGAACCGGCGCCGCAGAGGCAGCGGGCAGCCTCGCAACCCAGCGCTCAACCGCTGCGCCACCGGGGAGGCCCATGTGCTGTTTGGTTTCAATCCCACCAGATAGCAGAAGGGGACAGTCAGCCCAGAGCCTTAACTCACTTACTAGAAACTCTTGAGTCAAAAGAAGAAGAGTTTGTAGACAGTGGTCAACCTGGCTTAGAGTACTGGTGAGGTGGGCTGCCATGGCAGTAGATAAACATAGATGTGTCAAATCAGACCCACTGGACCAGTGGTAACCCAGAGTTTTGTTTTGTTTTTTTGTTTGTTTTTGTGGGACCCTCGCCAGCGGCTGGGAAACGAATCGGCGCTGCAGAGGCCGCAGACAGCCTCACAGCCGAGCGCTCAACCACTGTGCCACCAGAGGAGGCCCGAAACCCAGAGGTTTTGTTGCCCTTGCGTGGCTTCCTAAACAAGTTGAATTTTGCCACCAATTAGCAATGGGGTTGCTTAGCATCCCAGATGTTCCATTATTTATCGGGGTAAGGGGTGGGGATGTCAACACAACCTTTGTACAACAAGCAGTTATCAGGTTGGCTCAAATGGTCACAGTGACTGGGAACTTATGCATCTTCAGGCTGCCCACTCTATTGCTCTGGCAGTTCTAGTTGTTAGAAAGTTCTTCTTTATGTATATGTGAAAATTACTTTTCTAATAGTTCAGTCACTTTGTCCTAACCCAACCCCTATCACTACATGAAAACAATTCTAAATGCTTTTTTGTATGCCAGCACTCTAGATATTTGAACACAGGATGTGTTGGTTGGGTTCCTTGGGAAGCAGATGCTGAGATGAATGTTGAGGAAAAGAAGTTTGCTCAGGATAACTCCTGTGAAAGATGAAAGAGGGAGGTGGGGGGAGAGGGGAGAGAGACTTAGATTGTGATGCAGATCTGATAAAGTCTATGACAATTCTCTGGAAGCTCCGAAAAAAAGACTGATTATTTGTGAACCCCACCATGTGCAGAAATATCCAGTCTCCACTACCCCTGTCATGCACAGACATTGGCTGGGTTTTCAGAAGCAGCAAAGTCTCTGGTAGATACTGAAGTAAATCCTGAGGTTAACAGCTGGAGGCTGTCAGCAAACTGCACTTCTTTGCAGCTGGCCAGAAAGTTATTTCTTTAAGGGAGTTCTAAGCAGTAAACCTCCATGACTGTCACACAGGGTTAGAAATCAGGGCACAGAGGTTAAGAGCACAAACTATGGAGTCATGAGGTCAATGACTTTGGACAGGTCACTTAATTCATCTGTGCCTCATAATTACCAGTTATGGATACCAGGATAATACTAATTTTAAAGCATGGTTTGAAGGATATATAGAGTTCTCAGCAGCAGAATGCCTGCCACGTAAAATGTATTCAATAGATAGTCTGTTTGTCTATCTGTCCATCCATCCATCTTTGCAATCATCCATCCATCCAGAATCACCCAGCCTTCCCTAACATCCATCCATCCATTATCCATAAGGTCTTACACATTTCTACTTTAAAACTCAAATATATACATTTGAAAGGTAAATGTCCCTTTGTCTTTTAACTTATAGCAGAGTTTGAAACCCTCACACCATCTTTTTTTCCCCCATCACTTAAATCTCCAAAAAGATAAGCCAGCAAAATGAATGCAATGTTAAGTCTGAGAACCACTGGTCTAGAACAGTTTGAATTATATACCTATTCAAATTAACTTCAGAAGACTGTTTGGACAAGTCATCCCCTCAGAGTATGACTTCAGATTATCCCCTCAGAGGTCCCTTAGAAAGTGGGCAGCACAAAACTAAATGCAGAGCAGTGACAATAAGAATGGCATTCTCAAGATATCAGTGAAATGTCACAAAAATAAAGATGTCATCACTGGCCAAAAAATCACTGGTCTAGGTAGATTTGAACTGACATTGAACAAAAGGTCACCTAAAAGCTAAAAATGATGAAAGGGATACTATTCTTATAATTTTTAAGTAGTCTATTATATAATAAGAGACAAGACAAATGCCACTGTAACCAAATTGAGAACATTTTCTCTCATACCATTTAAAAGGCAACTCAACTAGAAAACAGAAACTTATTCCATTCTCTTAACAAATGTTTTACTCCACTGCTACTGAACTGCTACCTGACTTTTATTTGCTTCCACATAACTTTCAACACCACAGGAAAGTATTATAACCTAGGTAGTTAGATATCAAGTTCTGAAATCAGCATGGGGTTGAATCTCTGCTCCAACACTCCTGTGTTGCTGCCATCCCCGAGGCTCAGCTCCTTCTGGGCTAAGGAAATAATAATAATAACAACACTTTTTTAGAGGTAACATAATGTGGAATATGATAGTGGCAGGAAACTGATTTGTTCAGTGTTTGAGCAAACATTAAATAGCTGGATATAATTTTTACCTTTGTGAAAACATAAAAACATACTAGTTTTTATCACTTTTTTTTAATCAAGAACCATAACCCTTTGGAAAATACATTTTTCAGAGGTAAGTGAACAAAGTAGTCACCTTATTTCCCCTGTTTGGATTCCATGTTGTTTATATTATTTCATATATTTAACTTTTACTCAAATTCAACTCAAATGCAGTGAATGCCAGGCAAACCTAAAATATGTCTATCTAAAACTCCTCTCCTATTTATTAGGGTGGTGATTTGCCAGGAGACTGCTAGGTGGCAGTGTTACTTATAAAAAACAGTTTGCAGAAAGGGAAAGGCCTGTCCTCAGGTAAGACCCTGCAGAGCTGACAAAAGGGCAGTGTTGCACATTATTTCAACATTCAAAAAATTATTTAATTTGGTTTATTGTTGTTTTAATATTGTGAGATTTGAGATTTTTTTTTTATGAAGTTGAAGTGCTAATCGAAGAGGGGAGAAAAACCCCTAAAAATCTGAAGTAATTCAACAAATTCTGGGCCAAATCCAACTCCTCAGCCCTGAGGTTGCAACATCAGACTGCGCATCAGTTCTCTGGCCTGCAACCACGTTAGGCCTCAGCATCAACCTCTGCAATTAGAAAATTGTCTGAGAACAGTGTGGCCACTACATACCACCATCAAAGTGATGATCAAGTTTTTCAGTCTTTAAAAGCACAGCCAATACCAACAAAGTAGTCACCTTATTTCTCCTGTTTGGATTCCAACATAAACATCATTAATATGATGTTTATATTATTTTATCATCTATATTTTTCACTAGCATAACTTAATGTTTTAACCATGTGTGGAGTCCTGGATATTAAAAATAAAAGTCAAAACTTTCATTTCCTAGCCAGAAAGAACATCTCTATAGTTTTGAATTTTTGCTCATATCACTCTGTGGTTCACATGTGTTCATCCTCAAACCTCAGCTGCCCCCCTCTCCCCAAATCCTTTAGTATTCATACCTCTTTGCCTGTGTCTCCTCTTTGTCTAACCAGATATTACACTTCTTTTCTCACTGTGGAATCTCTCCCTCGGTTAACATGTCTCTTTCCTGCCTTCCAATTTAGATGTAAGTACACTCACACTGGTAACTATCCAGTAACCTACTGGTCATTTTTTCTAGAGGCTTCTTAGAAAACTCCAAGTAATCATATTTAAAACTGAGCTTAGTTTCTCCAAAATCTGTCCCACCTTCAGGATTCCCATTGTCAGTAAATGGCATCATAATTCACCCATTTGCTCAAAAACCTGCTCACAAACCTATAGTAGCACTTTAATCCCTGCCCCTCAGGTGCCATATTTTCTTGGTCTCCAAGAGCTGCCAATTATATCTGTTCAGTGATTTGACTTGTCCTTTTCTCCACTTCCATTGCCCCCTCCTATTCTAAACCACCATTGTCTTTTATTGAGCTACTGTGATGGCCCATTAACTGCTCTCTTCCCTTCACCCTTTCTAGCCATTTTCCACCCAGCAGCCCTGCCTTCTTTTTA